TGCACGGAGGACCCTTCACGGCATATCGACCCTTCAACCTCGAGCCACGATTCCGCCCACGTCGAACTCTCGCACCGGGGACCACGCACCGGCTCGATCATTACCACGCGATTCCCGTGCGTGTATCCCTCTGGATGGAGCTGTGGAAAGCGACACGATTCGTCGGCGAATCGGATTATCGCGATGTACTCGCGGATCACTGGCAAACTTTCTCACACAAGGTGTCACTGGAGCCCGAGGAGGCGTCGTTTAAACGCCATTTCGAATCGAACTCCACGAGCTCGATGCTCGCAGGAACGAGAGGTGATTCAGTCACACCACCGCCGCGTTGACCGCGATCGCGATCTCGTCACGGGAGAAATCGGACCCGTGGAGCAAACGTCGCTTATCCCGCGAAAGCGACACGATCGCGATCTCACTGGGGCCCTCCTCACCGGCGAGGAACACGAACACTGGCACGCACAGGACTCGCTCCCACGGCCGCAACACCGACTGGTAAAACCGTGACTTCGGCTCTGCACACTCGCCTCGCTTTGCCTCCAGTCGAGAAGAGAACAGACAGACAGGCGGACACGGGCTCACGGAGAGGGAGAGAAACTCACGCTGGCCGCACCACGCTCGAGCGAACCGGGTGCTTTCGCGTGTTGGTGACTCGTTGGAGGGAACGAGATGGTGAGACAGTGGGGACGCGTATGGGTGCGCAAGGAACAAGCGCACTGTACATCGACGAGCAAGGCACGTCCACGTGAAAAGCCGGCGTACACACGTGCGAGCAGAAAATGTGCGTGAGAGAAAGACAGGGAGTGGGGGCGTAAAACGGGTGTTGGGGGAAGTTACAGCGCGAAGATGGGCGAAATTTTTATCCAGATGAAATTTTCGAACGAGGAGGGGGCAATTTTCATTTTATTTTTGTGTTTTTGATTTGTCTTTTGGGTGTTTGTGCGAAGGCTGTTGTCCGATTTGAAGATTTTTTGCTTACCTATGGCTGGGAGCTTCTTATCGAGTGAGGGGGTTATTGGAAATCATCGTTTGATCTTCGTTTATTGAATGGAAATTTGAACTGTGGCATAATATATTTTAGAATGTTTAGTTTTCTATAGTACTCTAAAAAAATAATAGAGATTCCAGTTTGACAGACCGAATCGAGTACAAGGTTAATTTAAAATTAAATACTCCTAGAATGAAAACCACCAGGTTCTGCATTCAGTAGGTCTTTCTCCTGAAGGGTAGGAATTAATTCTCCTCTTTGTACATCCACCATACATCGACCACGCAAACGTGATCTCTTATTCGAATGAAAGTTTGCGCAGCTCTGCTACGGTGTAATCATTGCGGACAATTGCATATAGAGGAACAGCCTCAAGTATAGCGTGCGTGAGTTTTTCGTTTGCTTGTGTTTGCGACGCGTTTCCCTCGGTCGTTCCCCGCTTATCGCGTCTTCTTCGCACCCTGGACGAGAGGTGAGAGACTTTTGTCGTGTCGCGTACGCCGCGCCACTCTTCTCGAGGAGCCATCGCACGCCGTAGTGAAAAATCGTGGAAAATCGACCGTGGGACGAAGAGGAGCGCGCCGGTGGCGACGACCGAAACGGCATGGCTATCCCCCTTCCTTTATTCCCCTGTCTCAATCTCTCTCTGTTCCATCACCTGCTCTTTGTCTCCGTCCCTCTTTGTATCTCTCTACCTCTGTCTCGCTCTTCTACCCCTCTGTCTCTCTTTGTACAGGGTGATTATAATGACTGGGCCAGGCTGATTGTAATCAGGGTACATTTTTTCATAAATTCGGTCGTCCTTTTGCGTCAAACAATCTATGCAGATTGGAGCAATCGAAGGTATTGGACTTGTATCTTTGCTATGGATCGAAATTTGCTTTGAAGGCGTGAAAACCATCGCGAGTGATGTAGAAGAGATGTAGTCAGGTGTTTGAAACTGTTGGGGGTGGAAGAAGATGTTGAAACTGAAAGAAGTTTCGCTTTGATGTGCAACAGCGATCTCCAAGTGCATCGGTGCATTGCATTTACACTGGAAGTATGAGCCTCATACTATGAGGTACCATCGATGTTATCGTCAACTGTGACACAACAAATTACATGAAAATTAAAACCAGAGCAATGCCATGTCCATGCCCAAACAATGACTCTTAATTCAAACTTGAACTCTTAAATTCATTCTAGACTCCAAACTTCCTTTTCCAGAGGAGACTTCCAACCCGGCCCAGCTATTGGGAACTCCCTGTACATCCAATATTCCTATCCATCTTTCTCACTCGCTCTTCATTTTTCTCCCTTCCTTCTTTCCCTCGACACAGCCGTTCCTGTCTCTCGTCGCTGTCTCTTCGATCCTCGTCGCTCGCTCGATTCCCTCCGTTTGCTGTCTCCTTTTCGGCACGGTCCCTGCCCTGTGCCAACGTATGGATTTTCAGGGAGCACCCAGAAGGGAAATTCGGCTCGATTCGTGATCGAGACGTAACCAGCGGTCCAAGGAGTGTGTCGGGCGAAGAGGACGCGCCCATAGTCATGAACGCTAAAAAAAACGCACGGTCGGCCATGAAAATCCTCGACGGTGCCCTACCATGGGACCGAAGCGACCACGAAGACGACAGGCACACCAGTGACGGTGGGTTACACGGACGAGAAGAGCAGCTGGAAACCTGCTGGCGAGCAGGGATCTCAGGGACGTAACAGTCGATCATCGTACCACGTGGCCCCGTGACTGTCATTGCCCAAAAAACGTGATTCGAGTGCTGAGCGCGATCGTGATCTTTCACCGATCGGAATCTCGCCGTGAGATCTCGAAACGATGTCATTAGAGCGTCCTCTGGCGCTACCGTCGATTTCGGGGCAGACGTGCCCTATCCTCCCATTCTGGTCGCTTTATTTTCCTTTAAGGGGGATCATTTTGGAAAATTTTATTCCATTTTACCAATGTAGTCATAGCTAAAGATTGCAAAATTTCAGCACAATCGAATGTACTACTCCAAAAAGTCGGAGCACCTGGCGAATGCCGAGCGCTTGCTTAACGGTTCATCACAAAGGTGACTCTGTTCAGTTTTTGGCAGAGTAAAGGTCTCCTTTACCTGAATCTCCGTTACCCAAATGCTCCGCGAAAGGTTCTATTGTCCGGCACTAGCAGAACCTTATAGAATATGCCACCTTTAAAATCTTCTTCTGATGGTCGCAATGTAATACAAATTAATTCACGAGTAAAGCACCATAAGTAAAGAACAACTGACTAAATAATTAGAGCATCGGACGACAATAAGTCTAGCAGAGCAAGGCATTAGTCGCTCGCTCATTTAATGGATAAGTAGATCGACAACGACATGGAAACCGAACCGAGAAGATTTCTCATCCGCGAAGTTTCAGGCAATCGAATTTTACGAGCCGCAGGGTGGAAGTTAACTTCCTGACTCTTTGTTCCGTGTTCTCACGTCAGTCGCCCGAACAATGGGGGACCAACGGGGAACAAAGCGATGCTGCGAGTCGGCAGGATCGTGATAGGACGTTTGGTAATTACGTATCTGCGGATACGATAGCGGGTGAAATTGATCAGGCTCGTCGTCGAAACGGTTGGTCATATTAAATTGGGAATACGAGAGACGTTTTTAAGAAGGAACATCTTCGCTGAAATTTTGGAGCGAAATGACCTGCAAGCTCACAAATGGAGCAAACGTATAATGCACGAGTATCGAGTACCTTCGATGTAGTAAAATACACCAAACATTTTACAAATGTTCCATTCCTGAATTTTTCTTGAATTATTCAATTTTCATTTTTCGATGTAAACAAAAATTGAATAGAAATATATTTCTACGCTAAGTGTTTTGCAAGCTTTCAATGTGAAGCTTTATTTCGAGTCTCCTCGATTTTGGACTCCTTTTTTGGACTGAAATTTATTTCTCGAGAGTAGCCCCTTTAAATAATGCTTAAGGACAATGATGTAACAGGAATATCGTTGCGAACTCAAGGATCATCGTAAAACGTAGAAAAAAAGGTCGTAAGTGAAACAGTAGTAGTTTATATGAGGTTTCTAAACTGTGAACGTTTGCCTTTATCGTGCACCGCGGCTGACGCACCGCGAATTTAAATGATATCATTGACTGCGCCAGTTATGGCAAGATCGTATAGTCGTCTCATGGACGTTACGCTGTGGACTCTATCTGGTCGCGTAATCGCCGTATTCGTTCGATAGCGAACGATTAAGAAAACAGCGCTACGCCAGGACGTATAATTAAATTAATTCAGACCTTGGCTCGGAGCAATAAAAGTCTTATATAGTGATCCGTGGTGGAAGATTCCTTCCTGAGACATTTTACGCGGTGAAAATAAAAAAAGTCATGATACGTATACGAGGTGCATAAAACTACGTGGGAGTTGATAAGACTCTTATCATTCGGTCGTAAACCACGAGCTGGATGACATCTAGCGAAATGCCAATCAAATTTAACGACGTTCTCGTTCCATCGCTGTTCAACATATTATCTGACGTCGATAGCGTTTCGAATAACTTTCTATTTTCTTTTTAATATTGCATCTTCTGCACATTGTGAGATTTTCACTGGTAGATTTGTTCAAATTGTCCCTGTTTTTATTTGTAATTTTTTAGCGATCGTTGGTAACCGTAGCAATCAATATACAGACGTGTAGGAATCTTCTATCGTGAAATATGTTAAAACAGGTATCTAGAAGGTTGCTTTTATCGGCTGAAGATACTAAAGGAACTTACAAGGCGCCCTGTTTTATCGATAGGCCAAACCTTAAGGCGCGTATCCATGAAAGCACTTAGTGCTTCAGGCGACACGTACCAGAGCTCCTACCGACTATTCTCTTTTCGTGAGGCCTTTAACCCACTCACTACCCCCTTAGTGATGTATCCAATTACATATTGAAAACGCCTCGCTAAGGAAGGATCAATCGAACCCTCTCGCATGCTCTATTCCAAGGAGGTCCTCTAAGTTACCGTCAATCCCAAAGAAGGATACTTAAAAAATTCGTAACTTACCTCCTTCGTCGGTCATGACGCTAATGGTGGATACTGGTCCGTGGCCCGCAGGATTGAAGACTTGCAGCGAGACCAAATACTGAGTATACGTTTCTAGATTGTGTATACTGTGATTCTGGAACAGGGGTGAATCATAGACGGTTACGAAACGAGAAATGGAGACGTAATGTTAAACAAAGTAAAGAGCGAAACGAAAGAGTAAACTCTTACGTGACTTACCTCAACTAATGGATCCCGTATGTATATGTTTTTCACTTCCGCGTTCGTTTTATTTCGGGGCTTGTACCCAATCCGATAGCCCAAGAACTCGCCGTGAATGGTGTCCCTGCTGGGAGCATTCCATGCCAGGTAGATAGAGGTGGCGGAGGTGTTATAGGCGGCGATAATTGGAGGCTTCCCTTCGGGGGCTGTGGAAAAACAAAATCAAAATGCGTCAGCGCGTTCAATCATAAACATATTGTCGGGATGGCGCTTGAGGTTCCATCGACATGAACAAAAACACCTCCACCCCCCATTGCGATTGAATGTTGACCATTCAGCGATTTTCCATTAGTTCGTATTTTTCGCGAAAGCCTTTGTTTATCCTCGTGACTCGCGTGCCAACCCCTACCACTCGGTTCGTGAGAAAAATATTGACAACGCAAATCTATTGTTTATTTACCCTGGCTGAGCCTTGATATTTGGCGCCTCTCTTTCGAACGTGTGATCGTGAATTATTATTTTTGTATAGCAACGATACAATGAGTAAATGATTACATTTCCTCGTAAACTTAAACATGTCGCATATTAATTTAAGTAGCACAACTATAACTAGCGTGTACTTGAGAGATGACCCAATAAAACGGAAGTACTTCGAGTGCTTTCAAATTAAGTACAGCACGAAAAAGATTGTAGTACGAAATCGGAACCAAAGTCCTTGTTTGTTCAAAATAAAATTTTCCCATCTCTGATGTACGTCCTCTAACGGATGCCTTAATTGGCTCCGTTGGAGATTTTCTTCCGTCGATTCCGTGCTCATTTCCGTGTCAGCGATCACGCGTGATACACGCCTTGGGGGTGAATAAATGGCAACGAGAGTCCTTCACCCTTACTGATGCAGTAGTCCTTCACCCCTCGGGTTGCCTCTTTATTCCCCGCTTTCGTTGTCAGTTTACAGCCGAGCAGGTATTCCGATAGCGAAATGCCTCGTCGCCAGGGATTAAAGATCGATGTCAAGGGATGGTTTAGCCCCAAAAGGCGGGCGCTTCGAAGTTCGCGATTATCGAGCACGCTGCCACTGTAGACTAACGATACTCAATCGAAGCCCATGTCCTTTTATTTGCCCAAATTGGGCCAATGTAGTTATCATTTTGCATTGCAATATTACTGACAAAGAAATAGAATTTTTTTGTTTTCATTACGCCAGATGTACCAAACTTCAGTACGAACAATCATCGGTGGAGCAAAGATATCAATTTAAGGTGCCCAAAGTTGTCCAATATAGGCTTCGTTTAAGCTATGATTTTTTACTACTAACATCGCTCATGAAAATGGAGTGGTAAGTGATAAACAATGAAAGTTTTCGCCAGTTAGAAAAGGTTGAGAAACACGGTTGACTCGATGCTATAACACGCGGAATGAAATAAAAAAAAAATGCCGTATCGAAACGAGAAGGATTAACTCGAGTATCATCGAAGTTTCGTTTCTACCGACGGAAACATATTCACGAGGATTGTTCGACGAGCTGCTCGCAATAAATATCACCGTTCGATCGCATTTGTTTTTCACCATCGATCACCGAATTAAAAGTCGTTGATCGAACAAGTACACTTAATCGCGTTCCCATTATCCGACCCGATCCGGCGCCATGAGCTTTCAATGGGCCCTTCGTAATATTTTCGACAATTAATAGCTTTCGACTCGTTTGAAGCGTCGCGCAGCGCGTAATTGAATTCTTTCATGCGCGATCGGATTTGCAGGGCGATCGAGATTAGTCGCGCCCATGCATCGAAAATACTCCGGTAATAATGATCGCGCGAGATGGGCAAAATTCTGTTCCAGATAAAAATTTCAAATAACGAACGAACGTTCATTCGTCACGTATAGAACGAAATTCAGAATGATAATTTATATCGTAGAATGGTTTTTGTTCTTATAGGCGATATTAATGAACAAGCTGTAAATATGTGTATAATTAAGATTTCATCTGTTCAATTTTGCATAATTTTTACAGGTAGTTTAATGAGCCAAACGTGAGGTGGTAACCATATAAAGATTCTCTTTAGAGTGTATAATGTCTATTGAACAATAATATCTATTGAAAAATCGAGTTAAATCTGTGAAGATAAAATCTGACGAAGAGGTTTAATGGATAGAGAATTTTACTTTGGGTAAAAAATGGTCCAGTTCAACGTTCAAGGAGCTATAAATTTGCAAAGATCAGTGGGGGACAAGTAACGTGGTTCATCCTATACGTGGCTTGACTATTCGACCTCAATTTCCCACCGAAGGGTTTAACGTTGCCTTATCGCGCGCGACGTAGACGAAGTCCCCGCCAGAAGGCCTCTGTTCTGAGTAATTAGCGACCACGTCGTCTGCGAAACTTCGCGTTATCGCGCGTCAATATTCACGCAGAAACTTTGCAAACTCCTAGACGGAGGCTCGCGAAGGAACGAGCTATCGTTGGTGAAATAATTTCGAGACACTTAATACGCGTGGGCGTCTTCTGGTAAACTTTTGCCAATTTGACAATAAAAGCTGGTCAATGGTTAAGCAAAAACATTTGTATTCATTGATACATATAAAATTGAATCTGAAAAATAATCTTTATTTGCCAACAATTGCAGATGGTTTGCTTCTAGGTTTTCCAGTCATCCAGTAATTTTATTTTAGAATTTTCTATGGCAAGAAAGAACTGAAAATGACGCATATACATAGGAATCCCCTTATTAATATCGCCTGAAATTCCACCCCGTGTTGAAATGGGTGCAACCTTAATTTCATCACTGAATGTGAATCCGTGTACATATAAAATAGACGACTCGACTCGTTAACGAAAAGCTAAGGATGGTGGATGACCACTACGAAAATAAACCATCCGAGCTGGATGCACCGTTACGAACGAAAGTCAAGACGGGTAATTAATGCTTGAAGCATCGCGACTGAAACTTTGAACAGACCGGCGGTGAGAATAATTGGCGCGCGACGCAGCGATTACCCACTAAATTGACGAAGAAGCGACCATTTGCTCGAACGAATTATATTTAGAGTTATCGTTTCAGCGGAGAACGTTAAAATTAAAACACTTAATGTGTTTTTTTCATTCTTGTAAGGTGAGTTAGAACTGTAGAAAACACTGAAAAGATTCGATTTTAACCCACGGTATCGATTTTCATATTTCGAGATCAGACTTAGAATCAAGACCCCCAAAAACTTGTATACTAAGTTTCATAAAAATCCAGAAATTTTTCCTATTTTGTACTACCACGTCGAAACCGTTATTTTGAATTTCTAAATTCTGAGTTCAGATTTGGAATCAGCGACTCCAAAAACCCCTGGATACCAAGTTTCATCAAAATCGTTTTAAAGGTACTCGAAATATTCAAGGGAAACTGTAAAGATGACTGTTGTCATCTTCTTCTACGATATATCCTGCTCTTTTCCAGGAAATACTACGCTAGACACTTGTTTACGTTCTTACTACTTTACGTACGACGTGCGTACGCACTTCCAGGAATTTATGTAGGACACTGGTTCATTCATTCATTCATAAGTATCTATTGTATAGGAAACTTTGAAGTCCCGCAACTCTCCATGAAATCTCCCGATTCGATTGTAACAAAATTCTGATTAAAGACCGTAATTTCCATTACCTAATAGATTATTATTATCATTGTTAAATACTTTTAAACAATTGTTTATTTATGAAAATTTATGTGAGATTGAAGTGCCGTAACTCGGCGTGGAATCGCCCGATTAGATTCTAACAAAATTCAAATTGAAGAGTGAAATTTCTACTATCTTATTGATTATTATTATCATTGTTGGATACTTTTAAACAATTGTTTTTTTACTTTATCCTGCTTCTTGAAGCTTGAGTGAACGAGCTCGATTGACCCCACAGTTTCAAATATTTTTTAAATAAATAAAGGCTCTGTTCTTCAATCACGACTTGGTAATAGCGTTAATTACTGTAGCAACTGTTTTGGCGGGACGCAGAAACGTGCGAAATTCACGATTATTTTCCAGCGCTTAATTTGGTCGGCGGGTAAACTTTCTAAAGCGTGGGGGTGGTTTACCTTTTATTTACACGCAAACTGCACGGAAAGCCCTGGTAATTTTTCCGGTTAGCGAGAACCGCTGTCTGTTTTTATTTCGATGTCCCTCTGCCGCGCAATTATTCATAAGCCTCTGGACAATGTTTCGTTTCAGCGTCTCCCGCGGATATTAATTACGTGACCGTTAACATCTGTTCACGGTCGTTCTATCTACTTTTTTTTTTCGTTGTTATCTTTGCGGGGCAATTAACACCTCACGAGGGGAAGCATTAATAACCCGTAACGCGCCCGTAAAACGTTCCATCGAATTTCGTCGCTCACACGGGGAATATTTCGTACTTTTTTCCTAGTATACCGAAAGTCTAATGGAAATGTTTGATACATGTATGAAAAGTACACACTCTGAACAACACTTCTGCCAATTTTCAAAAGAAAATGTTGACTTTAAAGAAAATATAAATTTCGTTGTGCCACGTTAATTCTAGTCGCATAGTGGATCGAATATCTGTATCTTTAACATTTCTAGAATTTTGGAAAGCTACATTAATGTTGATATTTATTCTCAAAGATATCATTTCACGATCCATTCTGCTCGCGCGTTAAATGAATACGAGTGTCCAGATGAGCAATCCATCAGAGTATTTACATAAAATATTCATTACATCATTTATTACATCAAAATTCTTTTGCACTGTTCACCAAACCAATTTATTTCTTCACATCGACATTCTTCGAAACTTCGCTCCAGTTGAGCCACACCGCACACCTGTTGACAGCGTCGACATCATTTAAAAACCATATTCGTTACTCAAATTCTGATATAATTCCGTTCCCGCGGTTCATTATTCTTCGAGGCTCATTTGGGTCCCCCGCGGCGACAGTCAATTAACGAAACAACCGGAATTATTAACACGTGGCTGGAGGTACGGAGCCATTGCAGCGGGTTAGCTGTTATGAGAACACACGGGACGCGATAAGTCTTTGCCACGATTCCGCCCAGGCCACTTCGCCATGGCAATTTAACGCTGTAATAAATGCTAGCCACGCTTTTTCAGAGGCGTTAAATCTGCGTGAAGTTATTACGATCCAGTGTGGGTCGACGCGTTTACGATGGCGGCTGGTCCGCTTTTACGTGCGGCCGATAAAATTAT